CGGGAGGGCCAGGCCTAAGCAGACACCTCAGGCTGTGCAGGCGTGGGGGGGGGGGAAACACGCTGGGCAGTGAGCTCCGAGGACACTGCCAGCCCTTGTCACCCGACATACAAAACACCTGAACACAGGGCACTGGCGGTGCAGGCGGTCAGCCTCGTGATGAACGGGGAGGGGGCACATGCGGGCAGACAGGGAACCCCCCGCGTGGAAACGCCAGAGCCCGCCCTGCGCAACTCACGTCAGCGCGTGTGGAGGCTGCGCTAGGAGGAGGGTCTGCTGGGCTGTCCCGCACAGCCCTCCCGGGCCTCCTCCAGGGCACAGAGCCAGAGGGCCGCACACTCACCTCCATCTCCGAGCTGTGGGCGTGCACTTTCTGCACCATGTCCTCGGCCTCGCGCATCCGTCGGGTCAGCTGGGGCGAGTACTCGGCCGGGGTCAGCTCACTGTCATAGGACCCCAGGATGGCACGCATGCCGTCCCGCTCCTGTGGACACACGGCAGGGGTCAGGCCCAGGGGGCAGGGGCTGGGACGTGACGTGGAGGGACAGTGTGATGGGCCCAGGAGCAGGTGGGCCCCACCGGCTCCTCAGAGTCCACGCCGACGCAGCAGCTCTGGCTCACGCAGGCCCGACGGAGCCCATCCCGGCCACGACGGGCCCTGCTGCTCGGAAGGTGGGCCCACCCCGGCCAGTGCCCAGGGAGCCTGGGCTGTGTGGTGTGCTGCTCGCTCTGACCACCTGGCCATGGGCTGCAGTGGTCAGAGACCCACAGCAGAAGGTAGGTCACAGCCAGGGCCCGGCCTCGTGCGACTTCCGCGTCTCCTCAGTGAGGCCCAGGAAATCACCCGTGGGGCCAGGCTAGCAAGTGGTTTGAGTTCTTTGCCTCCCGTGACCCCTGACCTTGGCCCAGTAACACAGCCAGATTCCAGGAGGGAGAGAGCCCGTCAGCAGGGAAGCAGCAGGTACCCAGGTGGACCGAGAACCCGACAGCGCTCCACCTGCCCACGGCGCTCAGAAGGGCCCCGGATCCCCGCGGGAACGGGCCGGCCCCGGCCTCAGGAGCTTCTCATGGGCCCTCGCCTTCGGGCCTCACGCACAGGCCCCGATGGCCACCCCCGAGGCTGCAGGAGCAACCCTGCATCAGCCTCCGCCCAGGCCAGCACAGCCGGGGAGGAGACCGCAGGCCGCGCTCATTCCGCCTCAGCTCCTGATGCACAAGGTGATCGGCAGGTCTCCACGCACAGCTGGAGATCAATGCCACCCCAGGGTGGGCCCACACCACGGCCACAGAGCCGAGTCCTCCACGTGGGCAGGCAGCCCTCTACATGTCCACGGCGCATCCCCTTCCGCAGGCTGAGTCTGGAGGTGGGGGGACAGCTGCTGGGAAGGCTGGCCCCGCCCCTCCTCCCGTCCATCCCCCAGGGCAGGAGGCAGGGACCGCGGCACCAGCCCTAGCTCACAGGCAAAGGCACAGACCTGGGGCGAGGCCCCGCGCCGCCCCCAGACACGGGGCAGGGCCCCCCTCCCCTCCCATCCAGCCACCCAGCCGCCTCAGGTGTGAGTGGAAGCAGGTGCGGCCACAGAGCCCTGCGGGCGCCCAGAGCCGACCTGTCTCCCGCTGTCGGCCCCGCGCCCGCGCTCTCCCCACGGCCTCTGACTCAGCCGCCACCCAGCATGGACTTCATAATTAGTTGATGACAAGAAATCCAATAAGTGAGAAATTAAAGTTACAAATCCAACTGGAACTGGTCACATATCCGTGGAAAATTTGTTTCCACAGGAAGGTTTATTGAGTGTCATAATTTTATTGAAATCCTCTATCTTCCCACTGACTTTTATGGTTCTGAGCTGGTTACCGAGCCGCACGCCAGGGCCGGGGAGGGGTTTCCTTCATAAACACGCTGTAATCGCGCTGTTATTGACCATAAATCCCACCCGCGCCTGCCTCTCCGGTTCCAGCGCGGCCTCGCCGTGGCCAGCAGAGAGGAAACTGTAAAATGGGAAGTTGTACGTTTTAGAGAAATTGTCTGGTCGCTGAGCTGTGCTGGTTTGATTGGATAACGACTTTTTAATGACTGATTCCACTGGTGGGGCGTTCGCTTCGTTTCCACTCGAGCGAGTGTGGCGACTGACGGCTGCGCAGCCGGCGCCCGGGCTGCCGGGGAGGCGAGGACACTCGCCCCAGAAGCTCAAACAGGATGCGTTTCCCGGTGCCGAGCAGGCCGGCTCGGGAGCAGTCCCGTTTGCCCGCCACGTAATTAATGCAACTCAGAGCATGGAAGAGCATTACACACAGGACATGTGTGGGGAGGGTGGCAGAGGAGGGTGCCCGGACCACTCGCCCCCCTTCCACCAGGGGCCGGACAGGCTGCCGGGCAGCCGAGGGTCTGCACGAGCTGTGGGCCGGCGCCCAGTGCACCCAGCGCTCCTGGCCTCCAGAAAGGGGTCTCGAGCCAGTGCCCGACTCGGGGACGAGGGCGGACCACTTCCTGGAGTCGGCGGCTGAGTCCAGCCTTGACCACCCCTGGCCTGGCTGACACAGCCTCGAGACGGGCAGCCCCAGGCCTCGACGGGCAGTCTTCCTGCCCACCTCCCTGTCTGCCTGCAGCTCTGAGCTGACAAATGCGACAGGTCAGTACCAGGACCCGGTGAGGCCTGCAGCTCTGAGCACGCCCAGTAGGAGCCCAGACCCAAGGGCGGCAGAAACGGAAGGTCTTGGCGAATCGATGCTTCCTGCGGGCACTGGGGGAGGGGAGCCTGGGCAGCTGGCAGGTGTGGAGGAGCACCCAGCAGAGCGGGTGGGCATCACGAGCAGGTCCAGGCCAGTTTTCTGGGGAAGAAACTGGGCTCACAGGTGCCAAGTCCAGGGACGACAGGCACTGGCCGGCCAATGACCAGCTACCATCCCCAGGTGAATGTAACCGGCCGAGCCCTGCAGCCAAGGCCCAGCCTGGCAGCCCGAGCAGGGATGCAGGGACAGGCGGTGACTGGCCCCAAACACGCAAGCGCAGCAACACACGAGGGGGCCGGGACCGGTGGGCCGGGAGTCCTGGCAGGAGAAGGTGGTGACGCAAGCTCCCGTGAGGACGCGGGAGGCCCCGTCCTGGACAACAGCAGAGGCCACCCGCCTCCCATCTGCCCCTCCAGATGCTGAGCCCGCCCTCACCTCATCTCCAGATGCTGAGCCCGCCCTCACCTCATCTCTACTGGCCCCTCTTCTGGAAACTTCTCCCCCAGCCCCGCGCACTTTGGGCATCGTCTGTCCGTCTTTCCTCTACCACCTCAGCCCGGGAGGGAAGCCCCTGACCCGCCCCCATACCCCCGCCTGGCGCTGCCCGGTGCCCGGGATGCAGGGAGGGAGGGTTTCTCCCGTGTCAGGGCAGAGGCTGGCTCGGGAGAGGGAGGGAGTTCCTGCTCGGTCTCACGTCAGCCCTCCTGCAGGCAGAGAGAAGGCTCATGTGACTTGAACCTGGGTCTGAGCACGGAGACCCAGTGCTGGGCTCGCAGTGGGCGGGGGAGTGCAGGCCTCCCCTCTGAGCGCTGGAGAGGGTCCCAGGGAAGGCTGGGGCGGAGGGTGCCAGGGGCTTCGGGAAGCCTCGAGCTGGGCTTCCCCGCTGGTCCGGGTGGGGAAAGGCCCGATGAGCGGGAGGCGGGGCTGGCACCGGCCCCTCCCAGGAGAGCCATGGGCTGACGTGACCTTCAGCAGCTGGTCCTCCGGGAGGTGACTGTGCTGAGCGGTGACGCGCTGCCCAAAACACGGGGGGGAGTCCCACCCTCGGGGGAGACAGACACACACCTGGGCGAGGGGCTCCCTGGCAGTGGTGCTTCGTGCACCCTGGACAGTGGGGACCCAGCCTCTGCCCGGCCTCCTGCTGGCATTTGCGAGACACGCCTGAGGGCAGGCTCCTTCTCCAGGACCAGCCCCATCTCCAGCCTCAGGCCTCGGCATGGGAGGGCCAGGAGGGGAGCAGGGGCCCTGAGGACAAGGCCAGGAGCCACAGCGTCCAGGGCCGCTGCCTCGAGGAGGCGTGGAGCCCACCAGGAGAGCCCGGGACAAGAGCTGGGCCCGAGGGAGGCCAGCGCCCCCACAGGAGGTGAATGAGAAGAGGAGCTCCTGGAGGCCAGCGGGCACAGGTGGGCGCAAGTGCCAGGCCAGCTCCCAAGTCAGAACAGGCTGGGCGCAAACCCTGGCTTCACACTAATGCGCTGTGACCTCAGGAGAAGCCATCGGCCCCTCTGAGCCTGAGTGCTCGCCTGGGAAGGGGGAGCACAGACCCCCTCAGGGTCACACTGTCACACAGGAGGCAGAGCGGCCAACGCTGTCCCCTGGTCCTTCCCACTGCATTGCTCTTCTAACTGGACAATGGCCAGGACGGGCAGCAGGAGGACAGGGAAAGGCCAGCCGCTCAGCTCCACTGCCCAGCACCCCCACTTCAGCAGCCCCCTCAGTAATTCATAACCCACTTCTCCGGGAAAGACACAGAGATGGAGAGCCGCCAAGGTCCCAGAGCCACGAGTGTCCCAGCCCGCCTGGTGCCCACCCATGTGCTCAGAAGCTCCGGGCGCCCCTTCCAGGCCCCGCACCCGCCCTCCTCTCCTCCCTCCCGTGACCCGCAGCCTGGGCCTCAGGCGCAGCTCGGTCTCCCGGCCCAGCCCGTCTGGCCGAGGGCCTGGGTCCGTGTACGGAGCACGGGGCCTGCGGGCTGGGTGTTTCCTCTCAGCTGCGTGTAGGTGCTGACGGCTGTAGAGAGGCCCCGACTTCAAGCCCCTTCCCCAGCCGCCTTTGGAGTTTAACACCGGGAGGTGCTGTGTCCCGGGAGCGCAGCGCCAGGTCCTCAGAGAGCTAGCCCGGCGCCGCCGCCTCTCCCTTCTCTCTCTGAAACCAATGAAAACATTTAAAAAATAAAAATTAAAAAAGGTGTGGAGTGACAGTGGAGTGGAGGTAGTGGACCTGTGGAGCAGGGTCTGGGGCAGAAGGAGGAGCCGCCGAGAATGTGGGAAGCGGCCCCTGGGGACTCCTTCTAGACCAGCGAGGCTCCCATGGGCGGCAGGAGAGTGAACCAGGCCGTGGCCGTGGCGGGGGAGGCCGGGAGGGGCGGCAGGAGAGTGCACACAGGTGGGATGGGAGCCGCGGGGCCTCAGTGCTCACCCGAGATGAGGGGGTGACCCGGGACCGAGCTGACAGTGAGATGCAGGAGCCAGGAGGGCAGGAAAGAACCCCGCCCCCGGCCCGGAGGCAGCCGTGAGCACTGGGAAGTCCCCCTCACAAGCCCAGGAGGGCGGGGTCACGGGTGATGGGGGCCCGCCCCCTCCACAGCCCCACATGCAGGAAGCTGAGACGGCAGTTCAAAGCCAGGCTGGAGGGAAAGGGCTCTTGTGACGGAGGGTGTCAGAGTCATCAAACTCACTACTGCAGCTGATTGGTGAAAAGGCCCGCTCAATGAAATCTTAAAAAATAAATAAAATAAAATAAATAAAATAAAAT